GGGAGAAGGAGTAATGACCAGTCAAAACTCTCTTTAATATCACCTGCAGTTAAATTGATTATTGGAGAGAATGCCTCTTTCTCGTGGAAAGAAAGACGGTTTCTAAAAGCTGTATTTTTTTAAAGAGAAAATTAATGTTCAAAGCATTTGCCTAATTTCTGTCGTTTGAATATAGATTGCAGTTAATTGGATTAGACATGGCAGAAGTTTGTTGTTTTAAAGTGGGCCTTAAGAGTCAGCACACCAGTGGAACTGATAAACTTCATCTTGACCAGCAACCTTAATTTTGTCAAAATCTAACTCTCTATAGCATACAAAATGTGTGTTTTAACACTTGTACATGTACTCCACCCAAATCCAGCTTGCATATTGGTTTTAGTACACCCTGCTTTACAGAGGGATTACATGTACATGTAGTTTGTACACAGTGCTCCAACTGACCACAGCCTACACTGGGCAAAATATGAGACAGATGGGTAACCGCTCTACATGTCCTTATCCTATAGATAAACTATTGGTACCTAATAAGCCTGGGATCCGTGCACGACTAGTCGCCAAGTCGCCAATACCACAGGGTAGTCGCGGTCACGACTATCAATTTTGAGATACTCGACTAGTCGGCATGCGGCGACTATTATCCCACGACTCTCGACTATTAATCTGTACCGCATCTGTATTCTCTGTGCGCGGCCACGACTACAGGCAGCACCGCGAGTATGTGGTGAGACCGAGCCACTGTCGCGGCGACTTTTAATCTGCACCGCGCCACTACTATTCAGTGTGCCACGACTCGACTACACAAAGCACCGCACGTCCTGTGTGAGACTGAGCCGCATTCTGTGTGCCACGACTAGATGCATTACACACAGTACAGGAGCTCGAGCATGTACTGTACATATGTACGTACATGTATGTGAGACCGCGGCCGCGGCGATTGTACACCGCGCACATGGGCCAAGCATGAAGCCTTAGCCGCACGTATCGGCCGTCCACACACACAATGCATGCAATACTTAACATGCAGCCACTTCATGCGCTAATGAATTATCCACGTGTTTGGGTTTTTTCTCTAGACCGCATAAAACAGTGCACGGCGTCGTGGTCCATGTCTTGTAGTTTAAACTCCATTCGGTAGTTGGAAGTTGTCATGGTCTCCTGGTTGCGTTCTGTAATACTTAACACATGTAGTAAAACCATGATTCTTGACAATCGGACAGGGGTCTCATTCTCAGTCTGATGCAGTTCGAAAGGTTTTTATTTTCAACATGCAATTTGGAGATGAATTAAAATAAAAGTATCAGGCAAACCGTGGAAAATTGAATGTCGGACTTTCTTTTTCTGTTCTCTCGTTTTGTATTGCGTCTAATTCTTACTATTAAATTTTTAAAGTGATTGCTAAGGTTTTTGGTTCAGTCTTGAATTCCTGAAAAAGCAGCAAGAATTGCCTGTATTATAATTGTTAAGTACCGGAGCTTATTTTCTCAGTCCAGTCAACTTTCCTTATTCATATCATTGCTTGTCCCAGAAAATGCACGGGCCCTGCTACTTGGTCCGATTCCAAAACCACGTGGTTTCTTGTCCTCCTACCTCGAAATTTACTTATGCTTTTTTATTCATGTGCAGGGCCCTGGTGTTTTGTCCAATACTCCAATTACATGTATCACGTTCGGATCCAAAACCACGTGGTGGTTGACACGTTGTTGTCGTCCTTCCTCGACAGCTGGTCTGACT